AACCCGAAAAAAAATTCTCAAAATTCACAAGTGATTTGCATGATTAAAAATCACCTGCAGTACCACAAACTGCTTACCTCGTTTGCTGTTTCCGTGTAACTTGGCGGTTGAGGTACTGGAGGCGCAGAAACGGCTTGTTCATAGGAGGGCGGGGGATCCATTGGTTTCGCTATCGGTATTGGCTCGACTCCACCTTAATAAAACAACTGATGAGATGTATAATAAGAAAAAGCGATAATGACAAACAGAAAGGTATGAAAGGGACCGAACATCTACCAACGACTGATGCCCTCTCAGAATGCGTGGCGCATTCGAATTCCATCAGAATTCTTTAGGCAACTGATTACGGTTTGGCTTACACAATGACTTACGGAGAGAGCCAACGTATTCGCGCCTTTATCCTATCGGACGAGTTTTGGGGCGATTGAACATTGGAGACAAAGTGGCTTGATAGCACCAATGGGGCATGAGAAAAATTCCTTTCCGTACATTTCAAATTTCTGGCCGTTACATAATAATCAAGAAGGCACGGCGGTATTTACAGGGCAGTGGTTCGTGCATTTTTTTTCATAATTAGATTTTGCACATAAGGGGCATGGGAATGGTCTTCCTAGGCCATGTTCATACTTAATATTATGAAAGAACAGACGAACAGTAAGCAATAACAAACAAGATATGTAGTGATAGAAAAAGGACAGCAGGAAAATAGTTAGGACAATCAGCTTAAAAGAAAAAACTGAGATCTAGACTGATTCATTCGGCTGCTGAATGAAAGAATAGGGAAACTGTTATTTTCTTGTACTCCTATTCTCCTATTCCCCCAATCAATACGTAATTGTAAGTCTCGCGAATAAAAAACGTAACTTAACTGTTTTTGCAAATTTTCCTATTCTCTCGAACTTTATTCAATCAAAAGCTGAATAAAACGGTTTTGTTTTTTTTTAAATTTCAAACGTGCGAAGCTGGTTTACTGCTTTCATATCTGGCGTACTGGTAAAGCATTTGACAAGAAAACAATCTTAATAATTCGCCTTTTACGGGTTTCGGATTAGGAAACCAAAGTTTTAGAACCTATTTCGGGATTTTTCTTCGGAAGGAACGAAAACATCTACAGTCGGTTCTTACGCTTTGGAAAGTAACCAGTAAATGTTGGTGGCATGTGAAGGACATAGGCCAGTTTTTTCGCAACTTCTTATCATTCTTATTGACATAAAACAAGGATATGAGTCACGGCAAAACCTTTGCCGTAAGCACCTCAGGCGATGCAGTTTGCTCATAATACAGCACCCTTGAGATAACTTGCGCATCGCGAACTGCAGTGAAAAACATCAGTGAACAAGCAAAACGAAGTGAAAAACATCAGTGAACAAGCAAACGATAGTCTATGCGAGTCGATTGAGAGGGCCACGCTCTATTTTGCGTGGTAGGATCATAAACGGATTGGTACGATTGCTTAGCAACCCCGGTGTTCCTCCTTCTGTGACTAACATAAGCCATGGAGAACAGGGAACTCAGGGGTGGGTAAGCATACTAGTGGAAGTAATATCAGAAATCGGCGTACCCACGCAACTCACACAGCACCCAGAACAAATCAATAACTACGGCATAGATGGTGGTATAGGAGCACTACAGCTTTGTGACGCATTTGTCGGGAGTGGAAAAAAGGGTGCGGCCTCAAGCGAGAGACCTGCGAAAAACCGCATTGTCTCTGACGTGATAACCGACCACGGTGGAATGGAAGTTAATGTTGACCGGGACGGAACGCAATCTTGGCTTGACCCAGAAATTTGCTCGCAGTTAAATTAACCCTACATCACAATCGCTTCCTTCTGTAGATAGGTACGGTTTTTTTGAAGATGATTAGCACATTTACGCCGGCGGTGGCTCATTTGGGCTGTCAGCTAATAACTGCCTACCAGCCGTTTGTCATAATTTTTTGCTTTTTTCTGATATTGAAATAATTAACGTTCTACATATCACTAACATTACTTTGCGTTACACTTTGCGTTGTTTTTTCATCATTTACAATACAAAATCCACGGGTGTGAAATGAGGCAGCGGCAAATCATGCCCACCCCACCAAAAAGCGAAAAGAGGGACCACCGTGAATTAATAAAATAATGCCAAAAGGGGCGGAAGTGGTGTAGTGACAAGTGGCGCGCTTACCACGCGAGCGGTCCGGGGATCAAATCCTGGGTCGTGAGTCGCCCGGGCCAACCAAGCCTTCCATCCCTCCGGGGTCGGTTAATTGGTACCAGACTTGTCTGGGAGGATAAAAACACTGACTTGAACATCGGCTGGCCCCCGCAAGTCATTGTATAGGCCACATCGCATTCAAACGCCACTACGAATGTACAAATGGAAGTAGAATGCGTGCCGCATCCCAAAAAGGGATTGATCAACGGCAAATGCTTTATCCTTTATCCTTATAGAATTTATTCGAAAGAATGCTACAAGCTTGAAGTAATTACCTATCATATGTGGATTGAAGTGAGGTATCGTATCGAGTCGAATCACGTACGGCGCAACAATACCTTGTGGATATGCCACGCCCCGTCGACACAACCCTCTATCTTCAGCTATGAGAAGTTGCTGAAGCAGTAAACAATTCATACTGACAGCATAACAAAAACAGAAGAAGAAGACGAAGCCAATTTCACCTGAGTGACAGCTGCCCGTTGAGATGATGTCTGGCCTGTTCGAGGCCTCGACGGCGCTCCAACAGGCGTTCGACGACGAGTGCGAGGCGGTGCATGCGCTTGACCGGTTTCGGCCGAATGTCGGAAATGACGTGAAGCTCGACGTCGTCGAGGACACAGATCCATTTGACAGACCGCTATACATAACGCAAACAGCAACAAACACGCTAACGGTACCGCAAATATTGCGTACGGCGCGGAAAATTCCTAAAATAGAGCATAAGAAGAACAAGGTGACAGTAAACCAGTGGGTTGTAAACAGGTTCTAAGGTTTCAGTCAACATAACCCCAGGAGTGAATAACGAGGTCGAGAATTCAGGGGTTACTCCTTCTGCGGTGGCCCGAGAGTGAATATCGCGGCGTGTTGTAGGAAACGTAAATTGATCCAGGCGGAAAATCCTCTCGAAGTGCTGTTGAAGAAAGCTCAAGAAATATTCAAAAGTTGGTGACTGGGATGTATACAGGGGTGGCCAAAAAAAAGAGACACTTGACTCCACATTTCAGACAGCATTAATCACACTTTGCTAAAATCAAATCGACTGCCCCAACTCAGTATTGAAGAGCACCTTCTAATCTATCTAAACCTTACATGATAGCCTTCTACACCGACGACATCAGAAGATTTTCACACGGAAACATGGTTCACAGTATGAGCTCAACGGGGTCGACGAGGTACCATAGACCATTACGACGTCCGTGAAATGCTGGTCAAAAGTGGTTTTGCATAGTCACAGCTAATGTCTCTAGGAAGCTATTCAGCAGTTAATCCATTGAAGAAATTATGAAGCAGCTTCAGGCCGGAGCGATTACGGTAAGCCTCGTTGAGCTCGACGGTGGCGGTAGATGACGTCATATTCTGAAGACGGCGGGGGCAGTGAAGGAGGGCCTGCTTCTGTTACGGGGGAACACCTAGGAATATTTCACCGTAAAACTTTCATTAACATCGGCACCCTGTGCGACGAAAAGTTCGATGATGTGCGCCATGGGCAAAGTGTCTCTTTTTTTTGGCCACCCCTGTATATAATAGAATACTATGCTATATGTAAACATATACCTAGACAAAGGTTGAAATCGATATGAAACAAGACACACTCAAGTGGCTAACCTCACAAAATCGTCCTGAATAAAAAGTACTACCCGAACAATCACACCACCAGCTGCCATTGGTTTCCGTACGTAATGGTGCATTATTAGCACATCGCACAGTCTCACAGTGTGTACCCTCTATGTACTGTGGAGTTGGACATCTGAAAGAAACAACTCAAACATGCTACAATTGAAGAAAAAAAAGACGAATATCTTGATAGAAAGCTAACAAGCGCCTCCTGACTTTCGATCCACGTAATTGCATATTATTCTCTGGCTAACGCATCTTTACACGAAGGCAAACAAGTTGACCACAACACGCATTTTGGCTTTTTGGCTCGAATGTGATAGTCGCTATGCGTAGCCAGCTTCACCTTCCGGTAAATGTTATGATAATCTATAATAAACTAAAAGCGGGCGGAAGTGGTGTAGTGACAAGTGGCGCGCTTACCACGCGAGCGGTCCGGGGATCAAATCCTGGGTCGTGAGTCGCCCGGGCCAACCAAGCCTTCCATCCCTCCGGGGTCGGTTAATTGGTACCAGACTTGTCTGGGAGGATAAAAACACTGACTTGTCGGGGCCCGAAATGCCATTACACTACTGAATGTACAAATTGAAGTAGGGTGCGTGCGGCATCCCGAAAAGGGATCGATCAACGGCAAAATGCTTTATGCTTTTGCTTTAACTATGCAAAACGTAATAGCACAAAACCATTCCAGCAATTTGTTCTTGTTGAATGTTCTTTGTATTGTATATGTATCCATGTTACTGTTTTACTCGTGTCATGTATTCAGTGCCTTAATCTGAAGTTCCTTGTGTTGTCGCGTATTTCGTAATACGTCTCTGGGTCGCATTGGGTCTCTAGGAGGGGATCTCAGGCGATATTGATCGCCGTGCAGGAGGGGTGCCTTCGTTCGTGGGCTCTTTTGAAAAGCCCGCGAAACGGAGGGGCGCCTCGAGGAGCAATCTGACGGGCAGTCTTGATTAGAGCCGTCATCTTAAGCGGTTGCGTTGCAACCCGGTCTGTCACTGAGAGGCTTTTGGGAACTTGTGTCCATCGAGGGGAAGTGCTTAGAGCGTTCAGCCTGGGAACCACTTCCATTTGGCGTCCACCGCCAGATTGCTCCATTAGATCAGTTCCATTACCTCTGTACTCACTTGAAGCCATTTGAAGATTCATATCACTTATTCACTTTGTTCTACTAAGGAGTAATAAAATTGCTCATTGAATCTCGTTGTTTTGTATTCAGAAGCGGGTTCGGCCGCAGCTTATTTGTAGTGACTTACTGTCTTCCACATTATTCGGATTCATGAGTTCGACTGAAGAAAACGGAGGGGATTTTTTCAAATTGATAATTCCAGGAAGGCGTTGATGGCAAGTGAGCAACTTAGCCGTACATCGAGTATTGACACCGTGAGCGCCCAATTAGACCGAGCAACCATTGCAGACGAACAACAAATGGATACGGATCAGGTTAGTGTTTCTGGAAACTGGCGCAGTTTGTTGGAGCGTATTGCTCCCACATGTGAAGCCGCGATAAAATTAAAATGCGTAACATCTCAGTTGCTAAAATGACGTACATCCTAGAGTGCGTACAAGAAAAGGTAGATTGTGCAATTGCACAAATTGAGAGCTCTTTGCAAATGACGCAGAAGTCAGAAGCAGATGAGTTTTTGCAGCAGCTTGCATTTTGCCAACAGTGTGGCCAGGAATAATTCGATCAGACTATGTGGAAACTCAGCACTACC